TCAGTCATGCATGCATGGATTTTGTTCAGATTTAGTACAATGTGTTGTACATATGCAGGTGCATTTCGGTCATGATCTGCTTTGAATGTATATGTCACTCAAATATGAACGGAACGGGGACGTGTCATTGACAATGACTTGTTTAATTTAGAAATGTTTTTGAGCAATAAAGTGTCAACAAATTTAAAAGTCACTCACTGGTTTTAAAGATGACCTCCATAGTCTGTGTCAGTAATTTGCTGGCACCCATGTTTGATTTTGTACTAATCAACGTTCATTGTCAGATCAAATCAAATCAACTCTAATCAAACACTGCATTTTATTATCAGATTATACCACTGGGTTTGGTGGTAAATATGGTGTACAGAAGGATAGAGTAGATAAAGTAAGTTCTGTTTCCAGGATTCATTTCTCTACTTTTTGTTGTAATTTGAAAAACCCAAAAGTTTTGGATTTGGGCACTTGGTCTCCACTATGTTCCTGAATTGCGTATTACTGTATTTGTTCTTTTTTATAGGTGCATGCAAGGTGAGCATGAGTTGAATACTGTAGAATACTTTATTTTCGCTTGGAATTTATTTTCGTTATTTTCGCTGAAGGGATGATTCCGTGAAAATAAAATCCAGCGAATATACTTTTTTTCCTATATTTCACATTAAACTCATCAAAAATCAGTGAAAATAAATTCCATACAAAACGCCCAAAAAGCCTTTTCAGCGAAAATTAATTCCAGCGAAAATAAAGTATTCCACAGTATACTTAATAGTCTTTTCACCACCAAACTTTTTTGCCCAAATTGTTCTGCACTTTTTTTTTTTTATATTCAATATTTCTGGAAATGAACTCCAATTTTGGAGCCAACACACAATTTGGATAAATTTTCAGTTTTTACTCAAAAAATTTGCTATTTTTGTCCTAATCTTCTGAAGGAAAGAGCAGACTATAAATGGGCCTATTTTGTGAAGAAAAGCGGGAACTTGTGGTGATAAGGTCCTGATAGGTCAGCTATTGTATTCATATTTGCAATATACATTTTATAATAGTTGGTCTTCCAAACATTATAGGTGACTGAATTGTTGGAAGGAAAATTAAAATTAAATAACAGTCTTGCCAGCCAGTGCATGCATAAACTTGAGGGCGCTGTCTCTGGCTGTAAACTTAATTACCGTAAATTCTTTCAAGTTGTTGAAATAACACGTGGAAATATTAGGAGCTTCTAATTTCCTGGCAGGTTTTTGAATTACTGGATGCAAATAAAAAAAATATTATTGAGCATCTGACTCCGGATAAAAGTGTTTTGGATGCGGTCGAATGTTAAAATGGGCATCACTTACACTTCACATTCAAACACTTTCTTTTGTTTTGTAACATTGGATGTAGAAGTGCTGGAAATAGAATCCGTCAAAGAACGCAAATATTTACACAGTTCAACACATTTTTCCTTGCCATTTCTGGCTGCTATCTCTCGTTAAATCATTATTATAAGGAGTAAATAGATGAATAATTATATTAAGGCTATAACTGAGGCAGTATGAGAATACGATTACATATCAGTCACATACTATGAGAGACACAAGGCATAAGGAATTTTCACGATTCTATTAAATTCATGTCAAATACTGTACTGTGTACATACTCACAATAATTTCTGCTTCGTATCGCTAGGCAGCGGTTGGTTACGACTATCAGAGCAAGTTGCAGAAGCATGAATCACAACAAGATCACTCCAAAGGATTTGGTGGTAAATTCGGTGTACAAACTGACAGGGTGGACAAGTCAGCTGTTGGCTGGGATCACAAGGAAAAAAGTGCAAAACATGATTCTCAAAAAGGTATTACTATAAAGTACTTTATTTTAGCTGTAATTATTTTTCGCTGAAAAGGATTTTTGGGTGTTTTGTATGGAATTTTACTGATTTTTGATGAGTTGAATGTGAAATACATGTATAGGAAAAAAAAGTATATTTGCTGGATTTTATTTTCACTGAAGCATCCCTTCAGCGAAAAATAGTGAAAATAAATTCTGAGCGGAAATAAAGTCTTCTACAGTATTGTCACTTATCAGACACATCCTGTTGTATATTTACATTGTAGTGTGGAATGTCACAGATTAGAGAGTTTTTAGCACTGTAAACTTTTCAATTTTCAAATGATAGAAATGTTCACATTTTCAAGATTTGAAGGCATTTTTTTGCAAATATCCCTAGCTAAAACACAAAAGAAATTTTCACTACTTGGTTTTGTTTTAAATATACCGATTCATACCATGTTCACTTCTGGCTTTTTGCTTTTCATCACATCGATGTATCTTTTGTCAACTTAATAAAAAAAAAAAATGTGAAGACTTCATGCAACTTTTAAAAGGGTTTGAAAATGGTGTAGTTTAAATCTCCCTGAAGGTAGAAGAATTATGTAACGGTTATGCTGGCATAAAAATAGATGAGAATGTGTTACATCGAGGTAAGAGGCTTATACATTGGCGACCATTCTCATGTTGTAAGTACATTGGTATCCTAGAATAAACTTGAGATTCACAGTCAACTTACTTAAGTTTATTTTATTTCACAGTAGGCAGGCATGTGATGTGTGTCAACTTTTAAGGAAGTTTAGGTTGTATTAACCAGTACTGTAAAACACTTTATTTTCACTTGGAATTAATTTTCACTAATTTCGCTGAAGGAATGATTCAGTGAAAATAAAATCCAGTAAATATACAATTTTTCCTATATTTTACATTCAACTCGTAAAAATTCAGCGAAAATAAATTCCATACAAAACACTCTAAAAGTCTTTTTGGTGAAAATTAATTCCAGCTATTAAAATAAAGTATTTTACAGTATATGACACCATTGTATATAATATATAATGTATCAATAACATAAGATTAGTTCCATGTTCCAACAAGTTACATGGCCATAGTTTGTTAACTGTCATTGCTTGATTGAAAAATTATACAAAACACAGAAATATATGATCAACGAAACATTGCCTATTTACGAGTCAGTGCTAATGTGCACATTATCTTGTGGTCATTATATTTATGCTTCTTGTAAGAATCTCTGTTGTTGACTGCTGTAAAATACTTTATTTTAGCTGGAATTAATTTTCGCTGAAAAGACTTTTTGGGTATTTTGTATGGAATCAGAGGTACATTACTTGGGGTTTGCAACTACGGTGACATGATACCAAGATCACGTTTCAATCTCGCTCTCGCATAAGCGTTCCAACTCAGAAAAATGCAAATGCGCATGCCCGAGGTAACTGGGATACTGGAAAGTCCAGGTGGATCAAAATAGCTGCTTACAATATGACTCAACTATATTTTCTGTACATTTTCGATGTATTCCATTTTTTCACTATGAATGTGGTAATAAATGTTTTATTATTTTATTACAAACCGCCTATGTCATATCAGAAGGTCGTAGCACCAGTCTCGCTATCTACGAGATGAGACTTGAATGGGATCTTGACATGATGTCACCATACAGTACTATGCGCGTTGCAAACCCCAAGTAATGTACCTCTGATGGAATTTATTTTCACTGATTTTTGAAAATAGAATGTAAAATATGGGGAAAAAGGTATATTTCCCGCTGGATTTTATTTTCACTGAATGATTCCTATAGTGAAAATTAATTCCAAGCGAAAATAAAGTATTTTACAGTATTACTGGGGTACAACTTACACCAATGTAACTTTTTTTTGTAAGAACACAGTAGCACTCAAACCTTCTTATTAATTTATTTTTTTTAATTTCCTATTGCATAACCATGATAATATCTTTATATTAATTTATGTTGTGTATGATTTACCAGATTATTCCAAGGGTTTTGGTGGCAAGTATGGAGTGCAGGATGACAGGAAGGATACTGCAGCTGTCGGATGGGAGTATCAACCATCACTGCAAAAACACGAATCTCAGAAAGGTATAAAATATTTCTACTTCTTCTTGTAAAATTTGTTTCTGAAAATGTTTGCAAATCAATTTACAACACGATTATTATTACATGATTATGCCGCAGTAGTTTTATACTACAAATGACATTAAACAGCTGGTAAAAATGATCACAGTTAAAAACGATGTTTTGAGAATCAACTTCACATTTGAGTAAGACGCCATGACACCAAATGGGAAAGTTACTCACGGTGTCATGTTGTCTTACTCAAATGTGAAGTTGATCCTCAAAACATTGTTCTTAACTGTAATCTTTTTTATCAGCTGTTTTATTGACTCCCGTGTGCGAAGCACACAATGGGAGTCTTTGCAGTTACCCTGTCTGTATGTGTGTGTGTGTGTGTCTGTCTGTCCGTTCCTCTGATATCTCAAGAACCGTATGTTGGTTTTTAATTAAACTTGGTGTATGGATGCTCTGGGCTAATGTGCAGATTTGATTAGGTTTTGGTTGTAATCCATGCATATTAATTACCTGATTTGCATGATAATTAGCTAATTTCTAGCTGTTCCTTGACTTTTCTGCTGATAAAGAGCCATTCCTTAGATTTTGATGAAACTTGGTACATAGATGCTCTGGACTAATGCACAGATGTGATTAGGTTTGGGTAAAAATCCATACATATAATTAACCTAATTTGCATAATGATTAGTCAATTTTCGACTTTTTTACTGATATCTCAGGTACTAATCATTACATTTCAATGAAACTTACATAGGACGATGCACAGACAGATATGTGAAATATTAATTACCTAATTTGCATAATTAATCGATTTTCAGATTTTGATATTTCAAGTACTATTACTTCATTACTTTTTAATGAAACTTGGTACATAGATGCTCTAGAACAATTCAAAGACCTGATTAATTTTAAGTAAAAATGTGTGCATATTAATCAACTAATTTGCATAATTAGTTACATTGATTTACTTGGTACGTTGATGCTCCAGAACAAAGCACAGACCCGATCAGTTTTGAATTAAAATCAGATCATATTAATTACCTAATTTGCATAATATATGATGATTTTTGGTTCTAATCACATTTCAGTGAAACTTTGTACATAGGTGATCTGTGACAGTACTTATCTTAATTCAAGGAATCTTGTTACATTTGAACTCTAACACAATGTAATGATCAAATTAGTTTGAGGTTTATATACATCTATAATAATTACCTAATTTGCATAATAATTTACTTTTCAGCTTTCAACTAATTTAGTTAGGATTAATCATCACATTATAATGAAACTTTGTACATGTGAACCCTGAAACAATATACAGACCTAAATCTATGCATAATAATATGCTTAACTTGTATAATAATTCATTTGGTTCATTGAGGTAATCCACAGACATGATTAGTTTAATGTTGATAAACATGCATATTATCTATTATTAGTCCATTTCTAAAAAAATCAGATTTAAATCGAATTCATCGCCGAGGTGCTTTAGAATAATTTACACTAAAAACCATGGATGAAAAATCAAATGTATTTTCTGTATGTATTATAAATTTTAATAATGTGAATCACATTTTTTTCATGTTATGCATCTCAAATAGCAGACAAAAATTAGTTGACAAGCTTCTCGTTTGAGAAGCAAATCTTAAATTTTGAATTAATTTTAATGTGTCTCCAATACTCTCAGCACATAGGAGTTTCTTTTTAAGCTTTCTTTGATGTCATTTGTTATAAAGAATATCCAATGAGCGACTGTGTAATGTCATATTTATTTTCATATATTCTGAGACTTTGGCAAGGAACATATGAAAATTACTACACAAGTTTTAATAAATACAATATTACATGGTCACAAATCCAGCTGCTAATTTATCTCACCAGAAAATTGTCCCGGGTTGCAACTAATTTGCCTATTAATTTACATACTAATTATTATATTGTATAGTTTACATTTTTTAAATAAACAAGATTTACTGTATAAAGTGAAACACATTAGTTAATTAAAGTGTGATAAATTGCCAAAAATACATTAGTTAATATTGTTAATTGGTTACAATTATATATAATTCATATCAGGAGTTATAACTATAAAATCGTCATTAAAATTGAAGATTACGTGAATTTGACCCCCCTCCCTTCCTAATCCTTTGTTCCCTTAATAGCTTCGCGCATATGCTGGTAATTTTCATACCATATGTCAACAGTAAAAAAAACTTGGTTGCCATTACAGAATTATCCATCTCAGTCAGAGTCTGTTATTTATTTTCCTGCTCAAAATGCAGGTTAATTGTGCTAGCTAAACATTAAAACTCTACCCCTGACTTAATTAGCAAGGAAATGAATAACTGATTAGGAAAATGTGTCTCTGGTTCAAGGTTTGTTTTACCGATAAACTTTCTTCAATTGTGTCTGGTCTTCCACGGTGTAGGTAGGTCACGAATGTAGTCATTTCTCCGGCACTGTCGGCTATCGCTTTTACCTCAAAGCTAATTTAAAAGTGATGATAGATTAATTGATAGTGAATTGCAGTACAAATACTCTCGTGTGGGCGAACTTGACTTGTGTTTTCCCGTTAATTCTAGTCTAAGGCATTGTCATGTTTATTTGCTTTCTACATTTGAACGCCATCAGTGTTCTCCACAAATAAAATTTAAAGAGGGACGCTAATTTGCATATAATTAGCATATTTAATTTGCATATAATTAGCACACTAATCATACATTTCAAAGGAAATTCTTAGCACTTTTATATTTACATCAATTAAATACTGTGTACAAGTACTATATTAATGTTCTTGAATTATTTTGATGAATAAGTTAAACCACTTGATGTGTAAAAAAATATAAACTTTGACAAATGAAGAATATCAATTTTATTCTTTGTAAAAGTGTAATGGAACAAGTTGTGAAATTCTAGCCTTTCATTTATTTCTTTTAAATTTCTTTCAAATATTTCCATTTTCATAGGTTTTATAAATGCACTGAAATATTGTAATAGTTGAAAACCCCAAGTAATAATAAGAAAAATATTTTCACATAACAAAATTACCATTTAAAAGAAAAAGAAAAATCAAATCCGATGACTGTAAATAAATTAATCATTATGTTGATTGCATTGTGGGTACTGAGGACAAAGGTCAAATCAGATACTGTGACATCCATGTTGTTTCAGTGTTTACCGTACGTTTTGTTTTGGTGATTTATTTGATGATTCTTTTTACTTTTCGCCAATAAAAGGCAATTAACAAGCAATTGGACCAATAAATTGTTGCTGGTTCTCCTGTTCTTAAGTATCTCGGCTAATTCAGGAATGATGAGAAAACTTGTTTTGACTATCCCATTGCGTGATTAACGCAATGCTTGTGACAATCACTTCGCGCATCCATTCATAGTTTTTTGTTTATTTATTCAGCCAGTTTTTCCCCAGACATCCAATCCATTGTCCTACTTGTAACTATGCCACTATCTATCTCTAATTCTTTGTTTTGTCGCCTGTCAATTAATAAGAGGTCTCTCAATAACATCGTCGGGACATCTTCCGGGAATGTGAAACCTGTGTCACCGAAAACAAAGGAGGGTGCTGAAGATAAATAGAAGGGCGCTACAAATTGAAGAGGGGTGTTTCGCCCCCTTAAACCCCTCGTGGAGAACACTGAATACTCAACTAACAATACAATGTATTTGATCGGGG